AACCAAGTAGAGTTTATCCCAGAAATATAGTTGGTTTAAGATAGTAGCCAATATAATACACCAATTAACTGATAAAACTTTCAACTTAATTATACAATCAGCTCAATAGATACAAAAAAATTAATATCCATTTCTGGTACACAAAAACAATTCTCAACAAGTTATGAATAGAAAGTAAGTCTTGAGACTGCAGAGGTGGCTCAGTGGTTAAGAGCACTGGCTGTTCTTACAGAGGACTCAGGTTTGGTTCCCAACACCCACATGGTGGCTAACAATTGTAACTCTAGTTCCAGAGGATTCAACACTCTCTTCTGACCTCCTTGGGCATTGCACGACATGGGTGCACTTTCATACATGCAGGCAATACACTCATACACATAAAATAAAATTTAAAAAGAAAGTAAAAGTCTTCTCTCAAATTAAGATTGTCCATAAAAAGCCTACCACTAACATACTTGATGTTGAAAGACAGACTGTTATCTCTTCAATCAGGAACATGGCGAGTATTTGTAGTCCCAGTAGCATTATGCAACACTGTATTGAAGGTTTCAGCCAGTAATAAGGCAAGGTTAAACTAAAGATAGTAAAGGAAGAAGTAAAACTGCCATATATAAATAACAATCTATGTCAAAAATCTATGGAATCCAAACAGTATAAAAATGAGTAAATGGGGTCAACAAGTTGCAATATGAGAACAATATCCAAAAATCACCAGTTAGATTTCTACATCCTAGAGATATTTAGAAATCTTAAAACATCACTAAAAGAGCATCGAACCATGAAATGTTCAAGAAAATTTTTTGCAAGAATTGATGCTGAAAGTTAAGACATGTTCCTGAAGAAAGTTAAAGACCTCAATAAATGGAGACACGTGCCATGTTCATGAACTGAAGATGCACCAAGCCCCTATATAGATCGGATAGAATCCAGTCACAATCTCAACAGATTTTTGGTAGAAATAGACATGCTACATTCTGACATTTATACCAAAATGTCAAACACCTAGAAGGAATGAAAAAATGTTGAAGAAGAACAAAGTTGGAAAAATTACATTACCTGATTTCAGGCCCTATTATGGAGCTACAAGAATCAAGATAATAGAGTCAGAAATGGACCAATATGTATGTGTACACATGCACACACACACACACACACACACACACACACACACACACACACCCCTTTGCCAAAGTTACCAAGATAATTCAGTATGAAAGCAATGTATTAAATGAGCCAGGCGTGGTGGCACACGCCTGTAGTCCCAGCACTTGGGAGGCAGAGGCAGGTGGATCTCTGTGAGTTCAAGGCCAGCCTGGTGTACATAGTGAGTTCCAGGACAGCTGGGGCTACAGGGATACCCTGCTTAAAAAAGAAAAAAAAAAAAAAAAAAATAGAAATGTATTAAATGAATGTTAGAACAATTAAATAGCCACATTAAAAATAAAGTACCTTGATCTTTGTCATACATCATATACAAAAATGAACTTTTAGTGGATCTTAGACCCTGTATCAACAGGGTCTCTCTGTAACCCCAGATGGCCTAGAACTGGCCTGGTCACTATGTAGACCAGGCTGGCCTTGATCTCACAGTGATCCACCTTCCCCAGCCTCCCAGTGCTAGGATTAAAGGTGTGTGCCACTACATCTGGCCTGAAAATAAACATATTTTTTTAAAGACATTGCTATAAAATAAAAATACAATTTCCTGATAAAGCACATGTTCCCGTTATATATTTTTAAACATGTTTCCCATTATACATTTTCTATACTTATTTTATATATACTTTTATGTGTATTTCCATATATGTCTACAATCCAACAATAGAAGATAAAGAGCTCAAATTTGTAACTGGGAACAATATCTGATAAGACACCTCACAGATATGTGGATGGCAAATCATCACAAGGAAAGATCATTAACACATAATAAATCACTAGGGAAGTAGAAATCAAAACTATAGCCTGGGGTGGTGGCACATACTTGGGAGGCAAAGGCCGCCAAATCTCTGAGTTGGAGGCCAGCCTGGTCTATGTTGGGAGCTCCAGGCCAGCTAGGGCTACAAGGAGACCCTCTCTCAAAAAAAGCAAACCAAACCAAACAAAAAAACCCTGTAATATAATAATGGTATATAACCACTAGAAAGGCTAAAATTAAGCAGCATAGCAAAAGTGGTAGGGAGAGTGTTGAGCAGCTGAAACTCTTCTACTTTGGTGGGAATGTAAAATGTTAAAACCAATTTGGGAAATAGTTTGACAAACTTTAAACAACCATATGACTCAGTCATTAAATCTTGGTATTTAACCAGGAAGCATGAAAAAAAATCCTGCAAAATACTGGTGCACAAGTGTGCAGAGCAGCTTTAAAAAAAAAAAAAAAAAAAACCAGAAGTGAGAACAAGTTAATGAAAACCAGCAAGTGAATGAGTAATGTGATATTAGTAGACACTGGAATACCGTTCTTCAATTAAAAGATAAAGTCCTGGCACATGAGACAACACGAATGCATCTCAAAATAATTATCTGAGTGGAAAAAGCTAGGCAAAGGTAAAATTAATTTCGATAAAATTAATGTAAATAAAGACAAATCTGTAGTGACGGAAAGCAGATCAGGGTTGCCTGAAGAGAGGGGAAGGTAAGTAGACACTGCAATAAGGTAAGAAAAAACTTGGGAGTGCCAAAGTGTGAACTCGATTATGTTGATGACCTCAGTGGTATATTTATATGGCTATTCTAATAAAGTTGTGCAGATTGAATAAATGTAATTTATGTCAATTTCCATAATTTTGAGCATTATCATAAAATCTGTCAGCTTCAGTGGGAAGTTTACAACTGATGTTCAAGTTGTTCAGCTCTCCGTGTACACTCTCCAAGTTCCCTCCCTCAAAGCCTGGGGTTTTGTCCCATTTGAAAACTTTCCCTGCGTGCTTCTAAAACATGAACTTCTTTCCTGGAACACAAAAGTTGTATGTAGAGTTGTGAAAATCCACTAAGACAAAACCTAATTCCACTTTCATCATTGATTTTCTCCATGTACATCTGACAACTCACCATTAATTTTGGAAACTTCCCAGTCATTTTGTAAGCTTCCGCTGCCAAGGGCAAATGTAAACTGGGGCCCCCGAAACGATGGTAGGTCATCATCAGCGGCAGCGAATACGAGTCTCCCAGGGGTACTGAGGGGATGGCAGAAGAACAAACCAGTATAGTCCTTGGAGAGGCGTGGGGCGTTGTCATTCACATCTGTAAGTGCCAGGTGGAAATTTGCCATGGAGCTCAAGGAAGACCCACCTAAGGAATTGAATGGTTGGAACATGGAATCAAGCATGCTCACTGTCCTGCCTAAGAAAGCATTTTTCTCTTTAAAAAAAAAATTAATGTTCAACCAGTCAGGTAGACTAGTGGAAGAAAGAAGAAAAACCTTTAGAATATAGACCTGATTTTATTGCTAGTTAAAACGTTTAAACGGGGCCAGCAAGGTAGGGGCTCAAGCAGGAAAAGGCCCTTGTTGCCAAGCTTAAAAACCCAATTTCAATCCTGGAAACCCACTGACTTCCACAGATTGTCCTCTGTCCTACATACACACACACAGACACACACACACAAGCTCCCCCCGACTCCACAAATGAAATAAAAAAAGTAATAAAATGTTAATACTAACAAAATAATAATACTAACAAAAATCTGTAAACATATATGATTTCAGAACAACTCTGATATACATTGACAGATGAAAACATGGATGCTCAGAAGTTGTGTGCTTAAATTAAGTTCACATAGCTCGTCAGCAGTGGAGAGGTGGCTAATCCAGGTCAGTCAGACACCTCCCACCCGCTCACTCACTGTCGCCTTAAGCACCATGGTTCAGCTCTCCAAGCTGCATTTCCTCAGCTGAGAAAGCATGTGGCTGTTGAAGATCTCAAACGGCTGCATAAATGTCACTTCTCATTCTGTAGTAATGAAACTCTTGCGACCTTGCGACCAATTGGCAGTGGTGTGCACTTGGGCAACTTAACTTCTCAGTGCCTTGGTTCCCTTGTGCACAAAATATGGTCACTAACAGAAGGGGCCTCATAGTGCTAGCTGAGGAGTGCATGATCACAGGCGGCGTGCAGTGTGGGGACGACAGTGCCGTGTAAACACCGCCTGTTGTCTCCCTGACCGCGCACAGATACTGATTCTGCTGTTCCTGACTCCCTTCTGTTCCCCTAAGCCCTGTTCTCTGGCTTCTGCTCTCATTCCAGTAAGTCTTGTTTTCTTGCTTCTCTCCTGGCATCTTCTACATCCCTGACTGCTCTTAAACCAAAGAAAAGTCCACTGGTGTCCTTGAAGTTGTTTCATCTGTTTACGTTATTTCGGGGCCAGCAGCTGAAAATGGTTCATGGTCTTGCTCTATGAAACTTGTAAAATGTAAGAAGCACTTACAGGATATGTGCAAAGTGAAGTGTTGATTCATATGGGAGGCAGGGGAGGGCACCACATTAAGGCTTAGCCAGAAAGCTCCAGAGGACTTACTGGAAGCTTAAAAGTCAGGAGTGAAACATACACACCCTGACCGTGGACTGCACAGCAGGCGACAGAAACATGTCTCTGACCCACCTTGGCAAGCCCAGTCCACTCACATCCCTTCTGAAGACAGTGGACAGCTCTGCATTCTGCCTGCTGCGGTTGGGTCAGACTGTGGTCATTTTCGTTTTCTTCATCTTTCCCCACTGGGAGACCATTTTTATGATTCCTCTCTCTGTTCCCCATGTGAGCCTCTAATTTGAGGCTTCACATTTTTAATTATTTTTTAGTCTAAAAACTGTATTTGTTTGCTGGTAATTTGTTCCATTCTCATTTTTCTTATAAACCAAGCAGATGTATTACTAGCTAATTAGAGTCCTTGATCAGCGTAAGATCAACAGAATTCCTACTGCAAGATGGAAAATTCCATTTAAATTCCATTTAAAGAAACTCAGCGTTTTAATTACCAGCCTTATTAGCCTGGTTAGCATACTATTCCTGTGAGTCTATTTTTATTTTAATCTGAAAAATTTCCTGGAACTCCATGTTCAGAGCCAGTGGGCAGCTTGTATTATAGCAACTGAATTAAACAGGATGCAGTACTTATCCAGGATGCTTCATGACATCCTGGGTGCATCAGTATGATAGTCCTTCCTTTCAAAAGTCCACTCTACTTCATTCAAACACAGATACCCAGGTTCCTCCACACCTACTGAATCAGCCTCCAGGGGTGGACTCCCAGGGTTGCTGCTGAACAAGCTTGTGTGGAAATGGACACCACTGTATAAAATATCTTCTGCTTCACTGAAGGATGAGCCCGAAGAACTGACATTTAAGGCTCTACAGGCCACTGGCCTCCTGTCCTGGAAAAATCCACATCCTACTCAGAGGAAGGAATGACAGAAGTCAGTCAGGATCTCTGGAACTTTCCAAGAAGAGGCTCTAGCCCCTTCAGGAAACCAGAGTCAGCAATATCCCTGATGTCTAGGCTGCATCCCTGACACCCTACCAGCCTCAGAGAAAACCTACCTAGAAACAGCCTAGATTGGGACAGCTGTTCTCTAACAACACCAGGAAGACCCAAGCCCCACCTGATGCACACACACACACACACACACACACACACACACACACACACTTTGCACCCAACTGATTATGGCTTATGGTTATAACAGAATACTGATTTAACCTCACCAACTTTCTTATTCTTTCATTTTTACCAGTGTTTTCCCTGGTAATAAGTGGTTTGATTTTGTTATTCTCACCTACTTCCGTGGCCACCACTTGTACCCGATAGAGACTCTCAGCTTCCCTGTCCAGCGGAGCCACACTAAAGATCTCACCAGTGACAGAGTCGATTTTAAGCCAACCTCTCTTATCGCCTCTCAGTGAATAACTTCATAAAGAAAAGAATAAAGTCTGTGTTACTTTGCATGAAAACAAAAGATAGCTTGTATATCAGTACATTATTAGGCCAACATTATCATTTAGATTTTTATTGGATTCTATGTATGTATATATACATATATAGGATAATATAGGGCATATTTACAGGATCAGCATCTCATTTACATCTCTATCTTCAAAAGAAAAGCTTTAAGTTCAATTAGGTAGCTGTTGATTACCCCAAGATAAAAGTGCCACTACTGCACCCACTGATACAGTTTGCTGTACTGGTCATTGTTGTGGTTATTAGGCTTTAAAGCTGGGGTTGGACCACTGATTGATTTTCTCCCTTAGCAGCTTGCATAGTACCCTCTAAAACTGTGAGAGCTAGTCTTCGGGGAGGTGGCTCCCAGTTTGGTTCTAGCTTTATTGCTCCAAATCATGTGTTCAAAATCTGTTCCATAGCATCTGACCTTCAAGTTCTGGGAGGCAATCAAGGGCTATGGCAATAGTCTTGCGTTATTTTGGGAGTCTCTTGGACTACCCTCACCAACAACTCAAAGCAATGATGACAGCATGCACAAGATCCATGCAAACTCAGACAAAAACCCAGCGTAGAAATGGGGAAATAGGTAAGAATTCCCAGCCTTAACTGAGGAGCTATTGACAGCTGATCACTGCTAGGTGAGGGAGAGTTGGTCTTCTTTAAGTTGTTCTAGTAAGTGAACTCACACCAAGGGACATCTGGGTATACAAACTTGACTCGATGGGCCTTAAAATAGATGACTGAGTGCATGAAATTCAGCTGGCAGGCTATGCGAGTTACAGATAGAAGAGAAGGTCTAAATATGACTAAAATGTAGTGTATGAAATGCACAAAAATTTAATAAAATATATATTGAAAAAATTATATTGCATGAAAATTGCAAAACTTTCAATAAAAATTTTTTTAAAAGAAAAGCTTGTTCATATTAATATGGTTCTATATTTGTTTTACTATGTAAGGTATAGATGCAGGCTCTGGAAGAAAAGTTCTACTTTCCTGGCAATCAAAGAATTAAAAGAGAAGTAACCTCTACCAAAAGCTCTGAGCACACCATCCCACCTAAGGAGATTTGAGCAGTGAGTGGTGACGTAGACTACTGATGGTCCAGTGAACCCCAACTAAACATCAACTGAATGCATGAGACAGGACCAAGGGAAGGGTTTGCAGAAAGGGATTCTTAGACACATACACAGATCATTCCAGGAAAATGTGGTAAATACAGCGCAAAGGGTTAGCTATACAGGAAAGAGAGGTCCTTCAAAAGGAAATGTTGACATAGGCAAGAACGGCTTTGTGGTGGGGGAGGGGCACGCTTCAGTGGTGCTGGATGCACATGGGAAGCTGTGGCTGTGAAAGACAACGCCACAGGTATTTGGAGGGCCAGTCATGGAAACTACAGGTAGCCACCAAGCGGTGTTGAATGGAGGTGACCTAGTTGTGTTTGTGTTTTCAATGGAATTCATTGGTAGATGTAAAGAAGATGAATTTGAGAGAAATAAGACATGGTCCAGTAAAACCAAGGAGCTCAGCCTTTTTTAAGCACACATTATAACCATAAGGATGGCTACAGCCTTAAGCCAAATATTCCCACTCATGAAAATGTCACCTCAATAAAAAGTTAACAAACATTAAAAGATACATGTGTGCATGTATTCAAAACAGTGTCTACAATTTTTAAAAATGCTGGTAACTTACATGTCCCAAAATATGAATGATTTAAATTATGTTTAAATTACTTTTCCCAGTGTATTTTTAGCATATTGTACTATATATGTCAAGCACTGTGTTTGTCTTTGTATATGGCTGACAAATAAGCAATCCTTTGTACTGAAGAGGAGTTGGATGAATAGTTTACTTTTTTAAAGGCTCTTGCTGAATGAACTACAGCAAGTTGACTCCAGGTGGGAGAAGGGGCTGCATCTCAGAACAGAGATGGCTGTGCCTTGGACTACACTGGAAAGAGTCAGAAGCACTGGGATTCTGGACTTATCTCAGCAATAGGGTCTGAAGGATTTGATGATGGATTGGATTTGAATTTGCTGGGTGCTTACAGACTCTTTGAAGTTTACAGAACTGGAGGTTACATTTCTCAGTTGACACTTTGGAGTCAGTAAGTTGGTTCTTAACTTGCCACATGCATCTGGGCTTTCGACAGTCCTCAGATACTTTTCTCATTTGCCTTCTAGAATACCCCTTTCTCAGTCTTCCTTGCCAGCCTTACCTCCCCAGGTAGTGAGTGTGGGGCCTTTAAGAGGTAGGGCTGCAGGGATGATTTGACCTCAGTCCTCTGACTCCCTGCCTGCCATATGATGCCTTTCCCTGCCCAGTGCTGCTGCTCCTGTGCTCACAAGTCACACGAGCCCTTCACCAGACTCTGCCAGTGCTGATGCTATGCCCATAAACTTCCAGAACTATGAGCTAAATTAACTTACTTTTCTTTATGTTAGCCTGCCTCATGTATTTTGTTATAGCAAGCAAAAAAGAGTAATACATGCCATGAAAGACAATTAGTAAAGTCCTTATAACTGAATCTAAGTGTCTAAAGGACAATGGGAGGTAAGACGTCCCAAACTGTATAGCGAAATTTAAGGAATTGCCATTTGTAACTATATGCACTTGCTAAGTCTTGATGAAGTATTTATTATGTCATATATAGTATAGACAATGCTTTATAATAGAAGAAAAACATCAATATAAATCCTATCTATTTATTAACTGTGTGATGTTTAAGCTCATTATACAGATATGGATAGCTACATATGCATATGCAATGAGTAAATTAATCATTGCATATTATTGAAGCAAATGAGTGTGGGTGTTATTACATAAAAATATTGAAAATGGCTAAGGTGTAAGTATTTACACATATCGCTAAGCACCTAACCCCTCTTGGGGTGAGGGGTGGGGTCTTTCTGCCCCAGGCTAGCTCTCTGGAGAGTAGAGGAGCCTGAGCTCTCTTCATCGAATTTAATCCCTTCCTGTAAGCCAACCTGCTCTATTCAATTGGACTTTTGCCTCCTTCTCTCTCTAGAACTTCAGTCCTCTTTTCTCCAGGACCTTTCTTCAGATCCTGACAGTCCAGGCCCAGGGACTGGCTGTAGCTTGTCTGGGCTCTGAGGAAAGAAGGTGGCTCCCATCTCCTGACTTCACCAGATCCCAGCTGGCGCCTGCAGCAAGTGGGACAGACAGAAAAAATCCTGACATTGCTTTCCAGGATGGGAGGCATCTTTGGATGCCTGCTGAACCAAGGCCAGACATCCTGGTTGGATTGCTGGCTGCTCCACTGGGCCCTGCCCCGAAGCTAGCAAAGGCCTCTTCTCTGCCTTCCCAGCCTCCTTGGTCCTCTGGCTGTGGTCACAACACACATCTAGGCCTGCCCAGAGTGCTGTGCTATACCTTACGGCCAGACCTTCGGGATCCTTGGCAGTCACGTTGCCCACTTTAGTGCCTACTGCCGTATCCTCACTGACTTTCACTTGGAATATGTGTTGGGGAAATACAGGTGCTTCGTTCACATCTGTCACAGTTAGCTTGAATGAGGCAAAAGAACTGGCATTATAGTCGACACCATACACCAGAGGCTCAGGGTTTTCCGCTTGGAACACAATGTTGGAAACTGGTTCTGTTTCAAAATCAAGAGGCTGTGGGGGAAGGGAGAGAGAAAAAAGAGGGAAATTTAATTTGGGGGTTATTAGCTTCCTTAAAGTATTCATTTCTTATACATCTTTAAACTCACACAGTCTCAGCAAAAACCTACTTCTCAGCATGACAATAGAACAAGAAAAACACTTTCCTGTGGGACTTATCAGAGCACTTAATATTTTCATGTGATTGACTTCCCTGAAAGAGGAACTTTAGCACAGCCCTCCTCATTTAATCCTGATTCTTCGCTCATCTACTCAGCAGAAACTCATCACCCTTCAGGCAATTCTCTGACCACAGCTCATGATGCAGAGATATCCACATGGTGTGGGAATGGTTTCTCAGTGATGTCCGGACCCAAGCCCCAAATCAGACTAAACTCCTGGAGGGTAAGAGAGGTGAGGAGAGGCCAAACCAGAGGGATGATACATCCCCTGGTCTACCTGGACAGGCGGGACCAGGAATGGAAACAAGAAGCCGACTTGGGTTCTGTATGAGGGAGACTTTAACAAGCAGAGCTACCTAAGATGGAAAGAGTTGACCCAGAAACAGTGAGTTCTCCAGAAACAGTAAGTTCTGGAAGTTTTCAAATTGACACAAAATTAGAGTCACCTGGGAAGAGGGACCCTCCACTGAAGAAGTCCCCAGATCAGATTGGCCTGTGGGCATGCCTGTGAGACATTTTTCTGGATTGCTAATTGATGTAGGAGGGTTCAGCCCACTGTGGGATATGTCATCCCTAGGAGGTAGGCCTGGCCTGTGTTAGAAAGGGAGCTGAGCAAGCCAGGGGAAGCAAGCCAGCAAGCAGCAATCCTTTGTGGTCTCTACTTTAGTTCTTGCCTCCAGGTTCCTGCCTGACTTCTCCCGATAGACTGTGAACTGTAATATGAAATAAACCCTTTCCTCCCCCGAGTTGGGATTGGTCAGTGTTTTATCACAGCAACAAAAGGCAAACTGGAACACCACCTGTGACAGCACAGAAAGGACTTAGCTATCTTATAAGCAGTTGGCTTGAGGGGCCCTATGGTCCCTCTCTAAGCAGAAATCTATGATTCTATATGAGGAAAATCCCTGCCACTAGCAGCCTGGGAATCGTGCGCAGCCCCTGCTGCAGGACAGAACTCTCAACCCCCAGGAACTAAAATCTAAATGTTGCATGTGTGTGTGGGAATTAACATTTTTAGGATGAAGGCATATAGATTTAAATTTTTCCCATCTATTTATTTTGTATGCAGGTCTGTGTGAATTAAGTGTGTCATACTGCATATGTGGAACTCAGAGGACAACTTGCTGGAGTCGGTTCTCTCCTTTTGCCATGGGGGTCCTGAGGATCAAACTCAGGTTATTAGGCTTAGGGACAAGCACCTTCACCCACAGAACCATCTTGCCAGTTTTGTTTCGTTTTGTTTTTATCAGTTCTCAAAGGGACTTAAAACCTCAAAAACAAGACAGAATCAATGCAAAGCCCAAAGGGAAATTATGAACTACAGAAGTAGCACTCATGACTTTATTCACAAGTCCAATTCTGGAGAACCAAAGTCATCCTGGTGAATGTTAGTTCCTACCTTATATCAGTTTCTCATCAGTTACACAGGGATAGAGATAGCACTCATGAATACAAAGACAGACACATGATGGCATTGACTCAGCCTGCCCTTCCGACATCTGAAAAAATTCTTATCCTCGAGAAGCTGATCAATGCTGCTCTCCTCCTCAGTTCCCCTGATCCCACCACCTAACCCAAAACAAAGCCCACATCCTCTGCACTCAAGCCAGGATTCAAATTGTGCTGTTACTAACTTTCAACCCTCACTGACCATCAGCTCTGTGGGAGGAAGGACTGTTCTAGATCCCTGTCATTCCTCATCTCTCTCTTGACACACAGTACCTTAGGTAGTCAGGAAATACAAAGATATGAAAGGCTTGGTCCTTGAGCACTCCAATGGAAAGAAGATTTTAGAGCACACCCTCACCTTCATGAACCCCATCCCCAGGCACACACAACAAAAGAGCCAGCAGCTCATTCCCTAACTCATGAGCACAATGGAAACCTGGAAGTGAGAATCATGGAAGTCATACTTGAGATTGGATAAAGAAGCATGATATTTGTTCAACTATGTGGACATGAAAGGTGAGGTTGTTCACAGAGATAAGCATCTACTGTCTACACTGCATGGGACCCTTGATGACTTGTTGATTATTACACATGGTCTGATAGTACTCTTCCATGGTCAAGAGCCCTGGGAATCACTCCGCATCTCAGAGAGTAATGGAGTCCAGTTAAGACAAGAGTCCAGTAGACTCAGCAGGAAGAAAACAGCCTCCAGAAAATCATAGCAAAAGGACAAAAATAGATAGAACTTGAACCTAATGTGCCAGCCTGCCACAATGAAAACACTACTCTCCTGGACTTTGCACACCCGGGCAAAGGACACCTGCCCAACCTTGTCACCAAGCAAGCCCTAAGTTTCCTACTTAGCTTTTCCATTCCATCACTATGACCGCAGAGGCACACGGGTAAGGAAGTGAGACTGCATCCCTGCAGGTGAAAAGCAGCCTGTGGTATCAGAACAGCACAGAACACACAAGGCTGAGAGGAGAAAGATGGCAGAGAAGACTGGACAAGTCGTCAAGCTTGGACTTCATTCTTGATGGAGAAGGTCAGGCTAATGTTTTAGAGACAAAGCTCTAGAAATGGCTACATGAGAGGTGGCCCAAAGGAAGACAGGGAGATCAGCCAAGAGATGTGTGAGTATTCCTTCAGCACTTACTGAATGGAGGGACAAGAGACAAAAATAGGAGTCTGTTATTTAAGAGGTTGAGCACTCCAACTTCCATACCTGAGCACCTCCCCACTAGACCTGCCAAAGGAAAAAAAAAAAAAAAAAAAACTGTTCTAAATTAGCAAATGTGAACCAGCACAGCTGAATCCATATGCATAGTCTTTCATGACACTTAATGTGTGAAAAGTCAAATCAAGAAACCCTTGGAGACACAGCTCATTAGATAAGCAGAAAACCCATCCTTGCCAGAGTGCCTCCTCTGCACAGGACTGCCTGGAAGGTGAAGGCAGGGATTTCAAGCCAACCTGGAAGCAGAGATAAAGTGCTAAGAGCAAAGACCCAGGAAAGGGGACATTTCACCTTGTTACCAAGGAGGTGAGGAAAACAGGTGCACAGTGGCTTTCCAGCTGATGCATGAGCTTGTTAAAAACAGTCAAGACTAGCTGGAGAGGTGACCCAGCGGTTAAGATCCTGCACTGCACTTACAGAGGATCCAAGTTCAGTTCCCAGTATCCATGTCAGATGACTCACAACTGCTTGTGACTCCAGTTCCAGGGTATCCATCACTTCTGACCTCCACAAGCACTGCACTCATGTACACATAACCACACAGAGACACACACGTAAAGATAAGAGCAACTGAGGCTTTTACAACATCCTGTCCTATACCTTCCCAAAAAGGTATCTCAAAGTGTCCAGTCATTGTCCTAATCCTACGGTCACATCCACCTCGGAATCCAGGATCAGCTGGGCATTACAGACAGGCCACCCCACGCAGGAGGATCACATGGTCCCATCAGTGATAAGGATTTCTTTAAGCCAGCCTGCAGGACCAGAACTGAGACAATGACCAAGCAGCCCACACTGTGACCAGCACCACTTAATTGTACTTGCCTCTGATTTGCCCTGCCCCAAATCTTTCTTTACATAAACCTAACGCTCATGTCAAAGCCCCAGTTCAGACGGTTGATTCCTAACCTCACTTGCCTTCTTACTATTGCTCTGATGGCTAAAATCCTTTCCTGGTTTGTGCTATTGCCACTGTTTGTTTCCTTTGGAGTGAGCAGCCAGGCCTGACTTTCTGGAATCCCTAGAGTTGTGCCCCAAGCCTAGGACTCTAGCTGCAAAGTGGGGGTGGGTCAGGGATGGAAGAGCAAACTTATCTTTCAATCCCTGAAAGGAATCCCACAATCCCCAGGCACTGTTCAAGAGGAATCTGTGCCAGCCACATCGGTATAAGAGGTTTTCCAGCTACAGCGACATAGGACTCATTCACTCTAACCCTCCACATTTGCAAGGGATAGAGGGAACCCTGTACAATCCTCACCCTTATCTCCACGTGGTTGTCAGAAATGCGAATAAAATATAGATTTCCTATTTAAATTTCAGGCAAAAAGTTTTAATATGTCTTATGAAACATACTTATACTTTAAAATTGTTCATCTTATATTTTATGAATTGCATATGGCAATATTAGTTCACTGTAAAAGCTACTTGACCAATTAGTGACAGTCCAGAACTAGCACCCTGACTTTCATGGAGGAGGGCAGGAATGAGAAACCGTGGCAGGAATCTCTCATCCTGCCTGAGAAGTCACTATGACTATGTCACCTCTGCTTATTGGTCCTGATACAGTCACAAGTAAATTAATTCACAAGACGACAAAATCATTAAATGGGATATTTACCTTTTTAATCTTGACATAGCCAGCATTGGTTTGGGGATCTGTGTCAACTTCCAGCCTTCCCTCCGTGTCTCCCTGTACGACGCGGTACAGGATTTTAGAACTTCCGGTGAATGGCTCATCTGCATCTGTGGCTTGGATGATTAAGATTATGGACCCAACGGCTGTATCTTCAGGGAGAGTTATGCTTCCGTACTGGGGAGGAAACAGAATCTATTGTCACTGAGCTTAATTGTCAAAGGACAAACATTTCTGGGTTCGGGACAGACAAACATCACAGTTGTCATTAACACCTTCAAACATGTTTTTCCATCTGATGTCACAGGTGGTTTTAACACCATTTATACTCATGAACTGAAATCCATACCAAGGAACTTAACATCTCAGACATTCTAGAAGGATTCTAAAATGGATTCCCACTTCAATATCCAACTTGCTTAATGGCTTTAGTGATTTCAGTAGTAATGCAACAGATACTCTACATTTATTATTCTAATTCCTAAATCAACTAAGGATGAGCGTTTAATAGCTTGAACATTGGACAGAGAGTTGGACGTGAGTCTTAAACTTGCCATTTGTTAGTTAAGTGACATAGTTATCGCATTTCTTCAAACATGGGTTTGATACTCTGTTAATGGAAATAACATAACCTACTTCCCATTTGCTGTGGGTGTTAAGAGGGACAATGCAAAAAAAACTAAAATAAATAAATAAATAAATAATAAGAGGAATAATGCATGTAAGGCCCTGAACAGCTGGTGCTTAGGAAAAATGAGCAACAAAACACCCTAGAGAGTGGAGGCCTTACCAGTGGCATTTGACAGAAAAGTGAATGATTGGATTCCCAATGCCCTCAGAATGACATGGCTGGTGTGATCGGACCCAGACTCGAGATGCAAACCCATGAGCAGATGACACTTCCAAAGCCTCACACTTGCCTAAAGCATCCCCTACTCCCCTGGAAGCTCCAGATCCACTCTCCCAGCATCCTAATCTCAAAGATGATCATGGCCAGGGTCCAACAGGAGACCACAGCAATGAGGAAGCAAGCTCACTTTCACACTAGCCAGACTTGCATTTCTAAGTCCCTGGGCTCCCACTACAATTCTACTCAGTCTAATGAGCACTGGATGCAATGCAGGGAAATCACAACATTTGGAGAGGATAAAATGCCCTAGAGGATACAAACTGAGAAAAAATGAGTTCTTATTTCATGCTTGCTTAACCTCAGTGGCTATTAGACAAGATATGTTCAGTCACACTTCTTACCGTTCGGAGCCCTACCATAAATCAGTTCCCTTCTTTGTCACAGCCTTGTCCCTATTTTGATTTACGAATATCATCAGAGGGCTCTGGGATGCCTCAAAATCGACTTGTAACTTAACAATCTAGTCAAAGGGACTTCACTCTGCCTCAAGCTAAATAAATTGAGACATCCCTTTAAGGGAGTAATGATAACACCACACCTTGTCTAAAGCCTGCATCAAAGATGAGAAAACAGTCATTTGCTTTTTCTTGATGGTTTACACTGATATTTTTCTCGATGCACAAATCTAATTCTTGCAAACGTATGGAGCAAATTTTTCTTAGGCTTAAGCCAGAGATTTTTTTCCTTCTTCTCTTTTAACCCAGCTAAATACAAAATGAGTGAAAGTTGCCAATATTTCGGATGCTGATTTTTTTAATTCAAAATACTTGATTGAGACTCTAGTAGCAATCTATCTACTGTCTAGTGCCTGAAAAATCTCTAACAAACTGCAAGCGGACATCCAACTTCTTTCGATTTGCCAAAGATTGTGGTTTTGACTTTTAAGCAGCCCTGGAGGAAATGCTGATAGGAGTTTATAAGCAGGTATTCCCAGATACTGTATCAGCGAGTGTCACTGTCCCTGAGGACTCCCGCTAAGAATGATGTCTGGATTTTATTGAAAATAAAATGCATTGACCAAGGCCACCTGTCATGTCCGGTACTTTTCTTAACCATTGTCTGTGCTTTCATTCCAGAATTAAGGGTTCAATAATATGAACAAAATTTTAAAAAAGCAAATGGTAGCATCTACTCACGTCTGATTTTTCAAAGATGGGAATCTGATCATTGATATCAATTACGTTGACTTGTACAAAACAGAGGGTCTTGAAATCTGAAAACCAAAATCACATCACAAAAATTTTCACTGTAAGTCATGCATTAAAATAAAAAACCAGTAAGGAAACATGATATGACATGATATGACAGCCTCAGTCACAATAACGCTTATGTGAATGGAGGGTGATCTGCTCTCCACCTCACCCACAAGCTGGTCACAAAGAGGAGGTAAGAGCTGGAGAAGGACCTGAGACATTTTCCCAAACTTCCCATACCTGGTCCTGAAGAACATCTTTTTCTTGAGCAGAATGGCTGCTTTTATGTGGAACAGCCTCTCTCTTCTGACTGGTGAAGCTTAAATAAGCTTCAAAGTCCCATGCAAAGTGGTCCTTCCAGAAATCCTGCCAAGCTTCCCACAGGCTGTCCTTCCTTCTCTGAATACATCTGCCCTGCATCTGTTCTACCTTGCATGGTGAGGAAGTTCAAGGGCCCCTTCTTCTTTCCCTCTAAGTAAGGATAGAAGTGGCATCATTTGCTTCCTTTAAGGAACCATAAGAGATAGTTCATAAGGTTCTAGAGAAATGACACTGGCTTTAAGGGTGAGTTTGACAACGACTAACTAGGAGGCAGATGGATTCTAGATCCAAGATGAGAATGGTCTGCAGATGAGGGAGGGATGCTGGGGAAGAGAGCCAGAACAAGAAGCAAATGGCAGGTTCTTTGCAAGGGGTGGAGGGAGGCTTTCCATCATTTGAACTACAGTGTAATACATTGGTCTCTGGCACCTCACTATTTGAATTCTGGCCCTGCCACATATCAGAGATGTGAGAATGTAGGAATATCACTGTATGTCTCTGTGCCTCCATCAGGTTATCTACACAATGTGGATAGTAGTCGAACCAAGGTTTTCATCCTAATACAAATGGCTGTCATCTATGGATCCCAGGCCCTCTACTGAGGTCCTTCCCTTTATCATTCATTTTATCATAATAATAACTTAATGGTATAGGTTCTGTTATCGTCCTCACTTATTTTTTAAAAATGCAGAAGCCAGGACACAGAGAAGTTAGGAAACCAGCTTGAGATCACACAACTAACTGGTAGTAGGTTGAGTGTTCAAATCCATGTGCTCCCTTTGTCCTCTCCATGCCCTGCCTTCCTTTTACTCTGCTCTGTGTCTAGACACAGACTATATCAACCTCATCAGTGGATGTCCTCACTCTCCCACTAACAGCTGGGTTCTGACAATGGGAGACTTGGCAAGAGACTGAAGGGTGGGTGAGAGAAATGTGGCTGGCGTGTCCCTCCTCCCTGACTTCAAGTACAGGTCTTTCTGTCTCAGGAAGTCCTTTCAGGCTTCAGGGTAGTAAAGGCCACCTACTCTGCTCCACACCTCTTGCCAGCCTCCCTTACCATGCCCATGGTCTTCTTTAAACTTTCTTGGCCGCCCCCTGTGAGAAAGTCTTCATTTCCTGCTGTCATCCTGATTGATACGCCCAGATAATCAACTCCAGAGCATGTGCTCAGTGTATTGACCATAATGCTGAATATAATTTAATAATTTAATTATAAAGAAGCAGATACTGATTAAAGCTGGAGCTGGTCCCCAGACCATTTGTAGATGCTGGGTGGGCCCAGGCTTTGAACTCACTGCCTTTCTAAAGAACCTTGTTTGGCCCAGTAGTGGTCTCCTGCTTACCAAGCCCTTCATTTTTTCTACATGTGTGCATGTGTGCATTCATGTGTGTGCAGGTACATGTGTACGTGTGTGTATGTGCATCTGGAGGCTAGATGTCATTCCTCTGGTGCTTATCCATCTTTTCTTTGTTTACACAGGGTTTCTCCCTGGCCTAGAACTCACCAAATTCACCTGGCTGACTAACCAGTAAGCCTTAAGCATCTGTTGTCGCTGTCACCCCAGTCCACGGATTCCAAGTACTAGAACCGTCTTCCCAGCCCTTTCTTAAGTTTCTGTAAAAATGGTCATTATATCCTAGTCTCTAATTTTCTGTATTGCACAACTGAATGTTTAATTTCATCAATACACACATTTATCTATAAACATGTTTCATAATCTGGCCCATCTTTTTAAAAATACTGTATTTATTATTTTTATTATTTATGTGTGTGAGTGTTATGCCTGTGTGTAGGTAGGTGCACCCATGTCCTTCAGTGCCTGCAGAGGTCAGAAGAGGGCATCAGATCCCCTGGAACTGGAGTTACAGACAGTTGTTAACTGCCACATGGGTGCTGGGATTCAAACCCGGGTCTTCTGCAAGAACAGCAGTGTTCTTAGCCACTAAGCCAACTCTCAAGCCCCAGGTCCATCTTTTTCCAGATGTACTCATGCACATAAATGATTTGAAATCTGATTTCTACTTTATCCAACTACTTTAGGCCCCGATATCATTGCATATGGAATTCCCACTCTTCAACAAGTCCTGCACAATCTCTTTAACTAGTCACATTTATTCTTCAAAGCGTAGCTCAGTAACACTTTCCAGAAAGCTTTGCCTATCCCCCTTCTTTCATGGGCTACCTTGTATGTGCTCCTTATAATTGGTTGACTTATGCATCGATCTTCTCTACCAGAAGGACCAGTCCCTTAGGACAGACCCCAGGTCTTATTCCTCTGTGCCTCCCCAATACATTGTCCAGCATGCCAACAGGCAAATGTTCAATAACTGTTTACAGAAAGCATGGGTGGGTAATGGTATGAAACTGCCACTTCATAATGAACAGGGATCTGTCATTATATTCATGGTGCTAAACAATATCAGGCCTTCGGTATTATCTAGTTACCAAATTATGAGGTTGCCTAGTAACTTGACAGGCAGGCACTATGTACTGGGGCCTGCTAAACTCAAGTTCTCCCAGAATATCAACATTCATGAGAAATGAGAAACACAGATAACCAATGCTCTGCTTCTCCACACTCATGTAAGCTGTGTCCCTCAGAAAACAATTACAGGGCTATTTGGTAATCTAAGATTTAGTACTAGTTCACTAGAAGGATTCTTAACCTCCTTGTATCTGAGTGCCCCAGAAATAAGCAGGTGTTTTTTTATGTCTGTGTGAATTTGCCTAAGGATGTATAGATGTGCTTGAGAGTGAGATGTTTCTATCAGATTCTTAAAGGCTCCTAACCCAACAGAGGCCAAGAACCACTCACCTTGACAATACACAAGTACTGGGAGAAAATGTCTCCTGGTCCTGTCAAGTTGGCAACTAGCAGCTGGTAAGTAAAGCCAGAACTCCCCAAAGACACATTTCTCCTCCACTTCCATACACAAATACTTTTGTGTCTAAACACAAAGATTAGCAAATACAGTTGGTTTTCCTGTTTGTGATCATGGTGATTATAAGAATGTGCTTGGTAGACCTCTAACAAATAGATTGATGACTGGTGATGGTCGCACTGCTGTGCTCGAACTGCATTTGTGCCAAGGCCTTGTTTCCCTTGGGCTGCCCCAGCCAATTAGTGAGTGAAGCAAGGGCCGGCCCATTCTTGGAGATAAAGTACAGAATTCTCCTCCGCTGCTCAGTGGTATTTGGGGGGGGGCATTCCCAGCAGCCCTCCCTTCCCCTCTCTGCTCCCCTCAGGGTCAGGCTAGTGTTGCAGTGTGACCTTCTTCCAGCCTTCACAGTTTCCCGCTCATTTTCTCAAATGCATCCCCTTTGAGAGGTACACTGAACCCTCTCAGCTCCTTCTCAGAGGACCCAGAACAACACAAGGTCACTTGAACTACCCCTCCAGATTTTGTTAAAACAGCCACATCTGGGTCATATAAATCCCACAAAGGAAGCCAAGAATTGTATTTGGCATTAGAGCAGTCTCACAAATCATAAATAGAAGGAAAACAGCTGTATGTACTCAGGACAGCAGATGCAAGACTAACCTTTGTCAGACACTTCTATCGTTAAGTTGTATTGAGGATTATCTTGCTTCTTCAAAGACTGTTTAGCTAACTGGAGCTTTCCCTGATATTCTTCAATGCTAAAGAGTCCATCTGCGGGCACTTTGGGAGTTTGGTGTGCGATTTTGTACTTCAAAACACTGTTGATAGTGTTTTCTTCATCCATGTCATGGGCAGTAAAGATCCCAATGCTGCTACCTGTGGAGAAGCAAAGAAAATTCATTCATCCAGCCCCATTCAGAAAGCAGCTCCCTACTAGGAACAATTTTGGGTAGGGGACAAAGACATTTAGATTTGTTTTGATTCCTTAATTTTCGCATGCTATACTGTTTAAACACTCTAATGTATTAGTTAGCCAATTCTGCCATAAAGTATCATGGATTGGGTGGCTTAAACAACAAAAACAATTCTGCATTCTCAGACTTCTAGGGGCTGGACATCCAAGGTCAAGTATCACCAAGGTTGTTTCTATCTAAGACCAATGGCTTTTCCTCCTCCCCATGGCTTCATATAATTTCCTCTCTGTACCTTGGCATTCAAATTTCTTATTTTAAGAGCGCTAGTCAGATTAGATTAGGGCCTACCATTAGGCCCTCATCCTACCTTTGAATGTGTTTGTGGGTGCATATGTGTGTGCACGTGGATGTGAAGACCAGAGAACAGCCTCAGGTGTCATTCCTAGGACCTGTCCACCTTGGCCTTTGCTTTATTTTGATTTGATTTTGAGACAGGATCTCTCACTGGCCTGAAGTTTGCCAAGTGGGCTAGGCTAGCTGACCAGTGAGCATCCTTTTAATTCTACCTCCCCAGCACTGGGACTGTTGGTATAAGCCATCATACCTGTTTTGTTGCTGTTTTTACACTTGGGTTCTGGGAATCAAATTCAGGTCTTTGTACTTAATAAGCCAAGAACTTTACCAGCTGAGCTATATTCCCAACCTCCTTGTTCTACCTTAATTCTCTCTTTAAAATTCTATATCCAAATAGCCACATTCTGAGATTCTAGGAATTAGAACTTCATCAGATGCACTAGGGAGAGGGCACAATCCACCCCATACGGGGAGTTAGGACATCAACACGTACAATTGGTGGGGAGAGACAATTCAACATAACTCCCCCTTCTTGCTCCCTACCCCTCAAAAAATCCATGTCCACCTAAAACCTCAGGATGGACACTGTTTGAAAATAGAGTCACTGCAGATATAACCAGTTAACGATACTGAGATGAAGTTATCCCTTACAAGAAGGGAGGACACTGAGACACACACAAGGGAAAGGAGAGGAAGGGGAGGGAAGAAACCAGTGGGCTTCTGCCAGCAGCTAGCAGAACCCAGTGAGGGTTCTCCCTGGAGCATCTGTCATGGTGCCTTCATCGCTACCACTAGAATGAAGAGAATCACTTTCTGTTGTTTTAAGCCACCAAATTTGTGATGCTTCATTACTACAGCTCTAGGACACTAACACACATGGCAAATGGCACAACTAAACAGGGAGAAACCAATCCTGGTTGCTTCTGAGAGCTTCATGGGGTAACTACAGAGAATAACTCAACTCCAAAGGCAGCATATGAAGAGCAGGCATATTCCCTCCTGCCCTGAAGCAGGCCACAGCCCTACTCATTTTATCCCTGTGAGTACTCAGGCCCAGGAGCTCCAGTGGTCAGTACCTGTGATTCTGTGCTCCACCAGCTCTGTGGTCCACTGGGCTCCGGGTTATCCTGATCCATAAAATGGGAATGTGGATTTTCTTACATGCAGGATGAATCCCACCCGAGAATTTGAATCCATCCCATTATTTCAATTAAGCTATACACCTCTCTCAGTTTCCTTCCACAGGCTTATATGGAATCTAACAGGGTTTAGGGTTCAAAGGATGGGGGAAGGAGCTGCCTATGTCTACAGTGAAGTTGGGCATATGCAGGGGCTGGGTCAGGGACCATTATGAATAACAGGACACAGATAATATGTACTCTGCTTTCTGAACCCATCACAATTGTGGCATCACCTGCCCTTGCAAAAAGGAAAGAAAAGAAAAGAGAAAAGAAAAGAAGCATTTTGGATATTTCCTCTCAGCAAGTGAGCATGACACTGAAAGTACTGCTGTTCTCTCCACAGGAAACTCAAGCTGTCAGAGGCATGGTGAAAACTGAGGCATCGGGATACCCCTTGATGAGAGAAAAAGAACTTTGCATGACCAGAAGTGAAAGGAGCACCAGCTCTCCGGACCAGGAGGCAGCCAGAACTCATTCAGGGATATACACATCAATACGCCAGAGCATCTAGGACTATTTTAAGGGGGTGGGGCTCATAAGAAGCTGAACCTCCTGGTCTTGGTCATAGGTGGGATTCAATAATTACAATGGTACTGAAAAGACCTGGGGACACAAGTCTCACAAGATACTAATACACAGACACCAAAGAAGATAGAGTTAGTATCTCATGAGGCTTGAGTCAGTATCTTGTTGGTATTTCTACCTCTGCAGGCCTTGACAGCTCCACTAGATAGTAAGCCCTCAGAATGAAGTGACACTGTCTATACCTCTCACAAGGTGCATAAAGAAAATATAAATTTGGGGCTGGAGAGATGGTTCAGCAGTTGAGAGCACCTGCTGCTCTTGCAGAGGACCTGGGTTTGATTTCCAGCACCCACATAAGCTAACAACCATCCATAGCTCCAGTTCCAGCAGATCTGATGCCCTCTTCTGATCTCTGCAGGCATTGCATGACATAGGTGCACTTTCATACATGCAGGCAATACATTCATACACACAAAATAAAGATAATAAATAAAATATTTTAAAATAAAATATAGATTTGTACTATAAAGAACCCCTCTTCCTTTAAAGACCTTGTAAGGTGCTTATCCATAATAAATTCTTACTTTTCAAGAAACAGGTAGCATGCTGAGTCTTTGAACAATTTATTCTACTAATAATGACTTCTGCAGTCTTAGAACCTAGCACTGTCCTCTTCCCAAGTGAGGTAGGTGGCCTCCATGTGGCTCCCAACATTCCTGGTTTCATGGTACCCATGCTCCATGACTTTCTCCTGTCAATTTTGAGTGGAGACTAATGACCTAATTCTAACAAGTCGAATATGGCAAAAGTAATGGGACATCATTTCCAGGTTATAGAAAGACTGTGACTTTCACATTGCTTCTTCCCATCTCTCTCTTCAGCTGCTCCCCTCCCCACTCTGAAATGGAGGCACCTAGATAAACTGCAACCAGAGTCCTGGCTCATAGAAACTAATGTATTGAATTACTGCTTTCTTAACCTGCTAAATTTGAGGGAAATTTGTTACACAGCAATAGATAACAATTACATCACATGATCATCTCAATACAAAAAGACTTGTGATATCATCTAGAAAAGTCTTCAACAGTTTTTCCACCCTCATTCAGCATCACAGACCATCCCTGATTCCCATAAAAGCACAATGCCACAAGTATTTGTGGGCTGTTGTTATATATTTCATAATTATACAATTGTCACTGTAATATTCTTCCTTATATTTTCTGAAACTCTTCAAGCTGCCATTTAAGTCTTCAAATCTGGGCAAGAATTGTGATAAATGTAAGAACACACAGATAGTAAAATAGCCTCCATGTGACACCTGACACCCAGGAAGAAAAGAAGGATCACAGGGCAAGAAAAGCTATGAAGCACCAGAAAAGCAGCTTCCATCAAAGGCCTGTTGTGACAGCAGCAGAAAGATCAAAAGAAAGTGATGAGGATGTTCACTGGAAGACAGAAAGGCCCCACCCACAAGCTATTAAGTTCTGAAACTTACACAGCACACAACCCAAAACATTCAAGGAGATGCTAGTCTGCTCAGTGGGCTCAACGCCAAGGAAACAAATGGCCAAAATCCAGGTGTGGTGGTTTGAATGAAAATGTCCCCCCATAGGTTCCAAGTGTTTGGACATCTTGTCCCCAGATGACAGCACTGTTTTGAGAGGTTTTAGAAGGTGTGTCTATCTTGGAGGAAGCACGTCACTGGGGCTTGGCTCAGAAAGTTCTTAAGTCGCTCTCTTGTTTTTTGTGCCTGTGTGATGAGGTGAGAGCTTCACTTCTGCTGCTCCTGCTTCAGCCATCTCCAGCCACCATGCCTCCCTGTCATGACAGACTGTAATTCGCCTTGAACTGTAAGCTCAAATAAACTCTTCCTTCTATAAATTTCTTCAGTCAGTGTTTCTATCACAGCAACAGAAAAGTGACTAAGACACCAGGGAAGCTTTATTTTTCAACCTCCCAGAAATCATAACCTTCTTAGAGAGTTGTTCCTATACAAAACTCAAAGGTATCATGAGATATAGATATAGCTATACACTTAAGTAATGCATAAAGATTTAAAGGGAAAACTAAATGAGGCTTGGCCTCCCTTGCAAGCTTCCTCAATTACTGTTGGCTTCCTAGAAAGGGAGGCTCAAGGGTTAAATTGAATTTTGTATTGTCTACTTGTTGTGGGGTATCTGACTTTGAACATAAAAGCTATTTAGCAAGTCTGCTGAGGTTTTCTCTGTTTTAGAAGTCAAATGAGATCATTGAAGGGGAAATCTTACAAATGGGAGAGAATCCTAGCTATGTACACAGGATACTGCTGAGCAGTGATAGAAATATTGGTGGTGGTGTGACCATGGTAATGGCAGTGGCACTTAAAAAGCTCAATTCAAAAGACTAGAGATATTGCTTTATCCAAAACATTGTACCTGTGTCTTGGCAAACATAATTCACTGCTGCTGCTGATTAGGCCTACCTGCCTCCCTTTCACTCCGTAGAAACTAGAAAGAGGTCACATAGTTACTAGGGAAGAAGCTACATGGCATGGAACAGCTCTCATTCTTACCCAAGTTTTCATTTTCCTGGACTTCAAATACAGTCCTCCTATCCAGACATGTTGGTGGGTTGTCGTTAATGTCGATAACTTTCACATGAATATCCACTGGGGGTGCAAGTGGTTTTCCATACTCATCCTTGGCAATGGCAAAGAACACGTGCTACAATAGGAAAGTCAGAATTAAGACTCCTTCACTGCCCCCCTTTAATAGGGAGAGAAAATAGCTGGTTCATTTACCATCTCTTGCCTTAGTGTCAATTTATCCAAAATGGAGAAATGAGGAAAAAATGAAACGGGCTGGGGTTATGGGAAAGTTATCAAATTATCCTATCTTTGAAAGTTAATATACTATAATCTGGAACACAGATTTTTTTTAATTCAAAATTGATTTTGTCCTCAACTATAAGTGGACAGAGGACTTTGTCTTGTCGCCTGTGAAACTTCACATTTTACTCACCGCATCCTTTTCCTCTCGGTCCAAGGGCTGAGTCACAAAAATATCTCCTTCCTGGTCAATTGAGAATGGGAATACTGGCAGCGTCTCCTTGTTGACTAAGGAATATCGGGCGCCTGGGTCATTCCACCGCACCTGGACAGCCCAAAGTGAATTGTAAGAAAAGATGCTTGCAGACTAACAGAAAAAGAAATAGACAGCCTTCTATAGAAGTTCAATCTAAACTTTCTAACAACTTTGCTTGCATGTCGATAGTTTCTTATAACGACTGATTTACATATTTAAAATTTTAACCTAATTTTCGAAAGCAACTTATGTTGCTAAAAAGAAAAAAAAAAGCAAACAGAATTTTTTTCTTCTCTAAAGCATTTCTCTGAAAACACACCAAAGAGTCTGTGGGTTGTTTTCTTTTGCGGCTCTGATTCTGAAGGCTTCATGTTTATGAAACATCAGCTTAAGGGTCAAAATGTACTTCATAGCTGCTTGTCCTCTAGGACTAAGCCTTGATGTATGACAAGCTTCTAAATGCACCAGTGAAGATGGATTAAGAACAATCAGAGAGACTTCAAACTCTTCGTTCGATTAGTTAAATAAGATTAATAATGATGCATTAATAAGATTCATTCCTCCCTAAGTGCTTCAGTCTAAAAGACTTCAGGGATGAAAATAATTGCAAACTCCTACAGTTATTTTGAAAACAACAACAAAAGTAAAACCTCTGTGTAGACAGGGCCTGGCTGTGTAGACAGGGCCTGACTCATCTGATGGTCTATTATGAATACTAATAATGTGTATTGAAGGTTTACCACATACCATGCAACCCACTATAAAGAAGCCATATCTCACAGACTGAACGGGAACATGAAACAGTCTAGTCCTGCATCTCCTTCTAAAATGACAGTCAGTGAAATATTTTCTGAAAGCTCAAATATATA